CGTGTCATGGTAGACATTAATGATTAGTGAAATCACGATTTTTAAAATAGTACATGTTTTATCCAAAATAGTACCACATTTTTTCTACGTGGGACCTATTTTTGATTGATTAGTACCTACTTTTCTGAACGAAAATTGATTATTTCAATTTTGGTCAACATTTACAAAAAGTAGTATTAGACATAAAGTAAGATAATACCAGTTGTAAATTATCGTAGTACCTGATATTGGGTCTTTAATACCACTTGTAATGAACACATAAAAACACCAAATTTCGGACTCAAATGATGTTTATATGAACCATAATCACTCTCACATTAGTTTATATGAGATTTAAAATGTTTTAATCTATATATATATATATATATATATATATATATATATATATAATTGCTGGCAGATGCATTAAATAAAACCTATTTAATTATACCTACGTGACACTTTCCCGCCAAAAACCATTACATTTCAATTTTATTTTTTTATTATTTTATTGTAAAAACATATTTGATTTGTATTAATGTGTTGCTATGTTAACACTGGCCAAAAACCTTATTTACTGTGTAGCCATTACATTTCTCTTTTTTCCTTACTTTATTACCTTTAATACCTTTGAATTTCGAAAATATTTTTTTTTTTATTACCAAAAAAATTGATTTACTCACAATATTTTAGCTATTTATTCTCACTAATTTATGATACTTTGTTTTTTAGTAACTAAAGTTGTTTTTTATTTTCCTCAAAATATTAATAATATAGAATAATAAATAATTTCGTAGAAAAAAAGTAATGCATAACATGTAATATCCCGATATTTTATCGGTATAAATTATGTTTTAATTCCGATATAATAATGTTATCGTTTATTATCGTCGGAATTAATTATTTTCAGTCGGGATTACCGAAATTTATTTTCGACGTACCGTTTACGTTCGAAATAATTTTGGTAATTAAGCATTATGTTTAATTAAGTAATTAAACATAAGTAGTGATTAATTATTAAATTAATCATACAATTAATCCAAATGCCGTGAATTTAGTCCCAAATTTCCGTATGAGTTATATTTACAAATTCATGTGATGTTTCTTCACTTTGAGGCAAGTACACGTGTCGTTGTGGGGGTTTAGGAGAAGGATGAATCATCCATAAAAATGCTTAATCAACTTACAAATGTTAGCTTAAAAAGATGGCCACGAATGCCCGTTGTCATCAACCTCAAGTTAAGGCTCCCAAACGGCCGTGTATATAAGGAAATTATGGTAGGAAATTTCCTCACTTTTCCTATATTGCCTAAGCACATATTCCTCTTTTATACGTTCAGTAGTAATAGCATCAACCAAAGTCAAGTATTATTCCCCTTCAGCAGCCCTAAATTGTAACAATTTCCCTAAATTGTTCTATCTATCGCACGGCAAAGCGGAGTAGCGCACCGGCCAGTGTCAACGTGACAGGCAGCGCACGCTAGCGCAACTGCGAGCGCGGTTCCTGTGCACGGCAGCGTGCGGGTGATGACCAGCAACACGCCAGTCCACCCCACACGCGAGTCAGCGTA